TTCTGGTGGAGGTGGCGGGGGTGGGGGCATTTCTAAGGGTAAAGGGGGTTGCAGTACAGGGACAGAGGGCTGAAGAACAGTCCAAAATGGACTGAGAGGCACAAGAGAAGTAGCTCCAGCTTGACTAGAAAGAGATTCTTTACAAACAGTACCTAAAAGAAAAAGTCACATATAAAAGTTTTAACAAGTTTGCTTGTACATTTTATTGTTTTCTTCTAATGTTTTATGGAGCTTCTTTCTCCAGAGGCAGACCTACTTGTTTTTCTTTTATTATTTTTTAAAGAAGGAAAAGAAAAAATAGTTGATGCTGAGATAAAATATTTGTAAGTGGAGAAATAAGTTACCAAAGTTGTCCAGTTAGTGCTTAATATATTGTTGATGAAAAAAATAACCCTAAAGACAAAATACATTAACTTATTTTGACAATAAGGAAAAGGATTTTAAATATCATGTTTAATCTCTGAGCACCAAAGTCTCCACTATTTTGTTATTTAAGGATACCATTTAAAAAAACAGAAGAAAAATCATAAATATTTAGTTTCTAACTTCTCCTTTGTTGTATTCTGATATACAATGTTTGTGAATGTTTAAAATGTTCGCGTATTTCTGATTTCAGTTCTTTGGTCAATTCTTTTCCCCCTTAAAAAACTTACTCTAAATGTTTAAATTTGCCTTGCTGTATAATATGTAATATAAGGAAGTCATTTTTGCTTAAATTTGGTCAAACTTCTGTTATGAATATATGCAATTAATTTTGCCATTACTGCATATTCTCCAAGTTTTTAAATTCCCAGGCTGATATCATCCATATCTTTTTTTGAGTGCTGTGCTAGATTTATCCTCATGGCTGTGAATATGTATCTTAGTAATTTTTTATTATAATGTCTGGGAATTATACCTAGTTAAAAAAATGTGATTTCAATCCAAATTTGATTTTTAAAATTCTCTGAATAGTGCTGTGTATTTCTTTCCAGTACTTTTGAATTTTTTTTACATGTCCACCACTTATGGTAAAATATTCCTTGTCTCAGCATTTCCAGCATTATTTGTCTATACTGGCAATTATTGATGGAGTTGTATACCACCTATAAAACATTTTATGCCAGTTTTCTTTTAAGTTATAATTTGGGGGAAATTTTATAGATTTGTTCCATAGTTCTTCCTATTGTTTCATTGTGACTGTTTTTTTAAAGTTTTGCATGCATTTTATAATACAATTTTTATTTATTCTGTCTCCATGTCATATCTAATTGATTTAACAGTTGATTTAAATGCCCTAATAGTCTTGTTTCTGTATAAGCATTTCAAATTTCATTTTTTTTAGAAGCCCTCCCTCATTTTTGAGGTCAGTTTTTATTCTTCCAAGAATTTGTAGGTACATCATCCATGGTACATTTTAGCCTTTGCCAAGTACTTCTTGCTGTCTTTACCTATTCATGGGATCTGAGTGGACCATATCTGCACATGTAATTGCACTTTTCTTACTATAGACTCCAGCATAAAAAAGAATTTAATGACGCTAGTGGTGAAATTGTTAGACTTACTATTTTGCTCATACGGCTCCATACTTTCAACAAGCTTTGTCTTATAAAATGTCCTTTTAAATATTTGTCCTCTTTCATGTCCTTGTACCATAAATATCTATGAAGTCCATTAGCTAGGCTGCTTCCTTCCAATATTGATGTTCTTGGAGATTTTATCCATTCTGTTAGCCATGACAAACAGCTCCCTCTATAATATTTAGTAGTTTGGAAGAGCAAGACCACCTCTATCTTCTGAGTCTTGTAAAATTTTGAATTTTACACTACAGGTAACTCACTTAACTACTGCAATTGGCAGTACTTAACTACTGCAACCAGCAACTGTCGCTAAGTGACATGGTCGTTAAGTGAAACATCATGTGACTGAGATGGATTTACATCAGTTCGTTTTATAGACTATATTCAACAGAGAGATTGGTCTGTATTCCTGTGGTTTCTCCATGTCATTCCCTTCTTTATAAATTTATGTATGCTACTTCCCATGTTTGTGGTATCACTTTTGTCTTCTTAATTTCACTCACTATGTTTGTCAATGGTTCCAGCAATTCCTCTTCAAGTTCTTCATAATATTGAGCTGTTGGCCAATCTGGACTTGGTGCTTTCCCAAGTTTGATTTGTTTTATTGCCTCTTTTGTTTCTTGGATAGTTATAGGTTTACTTAATATTTTTCTATGTTGGTCATTACATTTGTTAAGAACAGAGTTTTCAATTTGTTCATGGCTGCTTCATCAATGTTAGCTGTAGAATATGTCCCCTTGAAAAAACCTGCCAATTCTTCTATAATTCCTGATCGTGTCTGTAATAATTTAGTCCCTTTATTGCTGGTATTGTCTGTGTTTCTTTTTTTTATAATCTGATACAAATTTTCCTGGTTTATTCACATATTCAAAATTCTTTAATTTAGCAAATTATATCTTCCTTTGTAATTCTCCCATTTCCAATTAATTTACTTGTTGCAATTCTTTAATCAGTTGTCTTTTTGGATTTGGCATTATGCAGTTCTACATATTTGTTCTAATTCTCTTATTTTGGCATCTAGTTGTTCTGTCCTTCTTCTTTTATTTAGCCACTAATTTAATGAAAGGACTCCTCATGCACAATTTGCTTGTTTCAAATGGTACAGTCAGAGATTCCTAGTGTTCTATTTATTTTGAAGAAAATTTTCAATTCCTCTTTGCATTTCTGTAAAATCTTGTCATGGAATAGCAATCTATCATTCATCTTCCATTTGAAGGGTAGGTTTTCTCCCGAACACAGTATTATTGGAATTGGATTGTGATCTGTATATATAATTGGCAGAATCTGTACTTCTTTAATGGATGGTGTTAGAACCTTGGAAACCTAATACAGGAAGTCCTTGCTTAACAACCATTTATTTAACAATGGTTCAATGGCCTTCGAAAAAGTGCTTTATGACCTGTACTCACACTTACGACTGTCACCCCCCCATGGTCACGTGATTGTGATTTGCGACCTTTTTTACAACAGTTGTAAAGCAAGTAACGTGGTTGTTAATTGAATTTCGGCAAAAAAGTACATTGGGGAAGCTGGATTCGCTTAATGTTCATGTGATTCACTTAATAACCACAGTGATTTCTTTTACAACTGTCATAAAAATGGTCGTAAAATTGGGCCTGGTCACATGGTGACTCGCTTAACAAATGCTCCACTTAATGACCACTTTTCCAGTCCCTATTGTGGTCATTAAGCAAGCACTACCTGTACATATCTATTCTGGAGTTCAACTGATGTCTTGCTGAGTAGAAAGTATAATCTATCTCTATTGGATTTTGCAGACTCCTATTAATGTCAATTCATCCATATTTTGCAACATCTTTTCTGGAAGCTTTTCACCTTTCCTCCCTTGAGACGATTTGTCTAAATTCAAATCTAACACTCCACTCATGTCTCCAAGGACAATATTTAACCTTCTTCCACTTCTATTAACATTTGGAAAAAACTTTTGTAAAACTGTTCTTTATTTGGAGTATAGATGGAAGCACAGATGGAGATATCCATAGTTTCAAAATTAAATTCCTTCCTGCTTTGTCTTTAAATTGATCCAATACTTCCCAAGCTGGTAACTTGATATAAATTGCTATGCCATTTTTCTTGGCTTTTCCAGCAACTATATGTTCTTGTCCAGTTTGCTGTGCTTTAACTTATGAGCATGTCCTGTTTTTTTATGTGAAAGCAATCCTTCCAATATTAATAAGCATCCAAATAACCAGTCCCCAAACTCTAAAATTAAACTGGAAGAATTCCAGCAGAAAGAAATTTGGCTTCACAAGGAGATATGGCAAATCTATGATCTATGAACTACACACAATGATGAAAAGAAAACATTAGTTTATACACAAAGGAATACCACAGATAATGCACTCCCATTTCAGTTTAGCTCTCAGCTATACAGATGAATACTTAGACATACTTGTACTTAAGCAACTACTCTTCTGTGTTAAATATGCTTGGTCCCTTTCCAAAAAATGTTCTCCTAAATGAGTTTTCTTTTAGCAAAACTTCCAGGCCTGTACCTGCAGCATTATCAGTAGATTCCTCACCAGACTCTGTTTTCTCCTTCAATGCTTGTTTAGGAAGAGCTTCTGCTTTATTCTCTAGGATTTGTCCTTCCTCCTCCTCCTCCCCGTCTGGGAACTCCCACTGGGATTCGCCTGATTGCTCGTTAACATAGAAATAGCGCCTATGATCCCTAAATCACAAGAAAGAAAAAGAAGCTTTACTCTCTTCACCCCCACACTGACACAATAATGTGGTCCTATCCCGCGACAGCGGAGTGCTCTCACAGGAAGAACCTCTTATAAGAGGACTGCTGTTCACAAAGGCAACAAACAGCTTTGAGGAAGAATGTGCAAGATGAGCTTGCTCCAAACTGTTTGTGGTGCTGGCTCTGTGATCACAGCCCTGACCCCCCACTCTAAGAGTAGAGGGTTAGCGAAACAACTCGCTTGTGGCTGATATGCAATTAAAGGCTGTATGAGGAAATAGACTTTTTAGGTAGTCTCAGGATTCATTTCCTTCCAGAATAGCAAAAGAGAAACAGCCCAATTTATGAAAGATGGCTGCTCCCATGGACTGCTGCAGTCACATGTATGATACTCTTGGTGTCAGACATAGTGAATTGCTACTGAGAGGGAGAGGATCTGGGAGCTGAAAAACAAAAGAGCAAAGATTTCAAATAAACAAAAATAATCAAGAAAGCCAAAAATAAGAAGAAATAGTTTGGTCTGACCTGCTGGCAGGAGATAGTTATCTTGTTCTTCGTTGAGATCCTCAGGCAGTGAGCTTTCCATAAGGACACAGACGTTACTTGGGAGCGGAGTTCCTGAGATCCTGCAATGTGCACAGAGCTCTCGCATGCGCGACCCCCCAAGCCCGCCCTCCTTAGCGCATTTACACTCGAGAGTAAACACCAGCTCTGTCCAATCGCGGAATCAAATCCATTTCAACACACTTAACATAGACTTTATATTTCTCCAATTTTTGTGGCTGGCTCAAAATCTGTATGTGCCAGAGGCTCTTTGCCCGCTCAGCACCGCTAAGTGCAGCTGCTCTCAGTCTCCAGATAGATGACGGCACGTCGGTAGGTGGTGATGATCACAAATCATGTCTGAGATGTCAAAGGTGAAAGGTGAAAAGGGGAGAAGAGTGCGTACCTGTCCCAGTGGCAGGACCAGCCTTTAGGGGCGGCGTTTATTTCATACTGTTTTAGCTGTTCAGCTGCATCTTGTAATTTGCGTTTGAGGTAGTTTCCTTGGAGAGCACCTTCCCGCCAATCTGCAATACGAGTCTGTCAAAGACAGATAAAGAAACATATGGAATAATGAAAAATTTGCAGACAACTAGCCACATGCATGCCATATTCTGCTGAACTCTAGAATTCTGTACAGGGCTAAGTCATTAGAACAAGAAACAGCAGTAAAGATAAAGCTTGTAATTAATTTTATTACAAAGATTACATAACATCCAATATGCCCATAAACAGAACATTGGCTTAAATAAAGCCAGCAGCTGATGGGGGAAGAAGGGACAAGGGAAGAGAAACAGAGACTGCTATTCATGCCATGGGACTTGAACTTCCTAAATTCTTATCACACCACAGTCCTTTCAGGTGTTTGGCTTCCTATATTCCATCATTTCTCTTTAATAAAAGGTAAACCTTGGTTACCTCAGTCTGCAACAGTAGCATGTGGAAGTTAGAGATCGACTGTCTACTGATGCCCAAGAACTCCAGCTTGCTTATCAACATATTGGCCAGCTCTCCAATCTGAAACTGCCAAAAGTAAAGCAAGCAAGAGGTCAAGTTTTGGTTTGTTAGTCATAACATACAAGAGTATTGCAATGTTGACTCTGAAGTGTACAAAGATGTGTGATCTGACCAGTAAATCACAGCTGAAAAAATCTGTGACTAATGAGGACAGGAGCTGATCCAATCAATCCCAGCCAAATACAAAAAGTGTATTGTCCCACCTGACAAGGACAATCATATTGCCCATATACTTTTATGTTATCTTGGTGGGATAATTTAAGATCTTCTCTAATTATAAACTTGCATAAATCAGTTATGATTACATCCACTGCAGACTTTCTCACTTACTTTGCACAAAAAAGCTGTTATTTCATTATTCAGTGCTAACAATCGCAAAAAGCTGCAACGCTTAAATAAAAGGATAATAAGTATATGCTTCTCATTACTAATATATACTTCCTATTACTAATAATATGACCTCCCACTTCTTGTCAGAACAGGCATTGCCTTCACATGTCAAATGCCATTTGTTTCTAAATTCCTGTAACTTTTTTGGATGTGGCACAGAATATGTCTAGAAGTGTTACCAGAAGCACACTTAAGGAATAGCTAAAACCTAAAAGATTCAGAGATATTCTATGATAAAATAACCCAGACTTGATTAAGTACCAACAATGATTTAAGGGCAAATTCACATGCACACACAAGAAGACAGAGGGGTTAAAAGTTAGTTCACCCTTCATTCCTACATTACAAGTACTCAGATAGGCTTATTTATTTATTCTGTGCCTAAATTTGAGACAGTAAATGATCAATCATATCACACTTGTATCGTGTCAGTTCAGATCACTCTTGTTTAACATGCTATGAACATGAATGATCACTGTGCATCAGGAAAACAAGATTTGCACATAATTTACCAAATACACAATTCTGTCTTGACTAAAAAAAAAAAGCCTATTTTAATTCACACACCTTTAAGTCCTGCTCTTCATCTTCTGCCTTGAAAATCCCTTGTGCTTTCACTTTGTCTTGAAATTCTTCCATGTCTGGTTCATGGCCCAAGTTCTCATCAGCCAATTCTGGTTCTTCCTTCACACCTGAACAGAAAATAAGAGTAGTGGCTATATATTTTATTCTCTACTCTCATATTCTACAGTTACAGAATCACAAAATATAAGGGTCACAGAATCACAGTAAAATTACAAGTAAATTATTTCCTTGTAATTTAAACCTTCTCTTTCTTGTCCTATCTTCTGGAACAACTAAACAATTCTTCCTCACAAACCACCCTTTTGATACTTGAAAACAGCTACAGTATCTTGTTTCCATGAAGCCTTCTATTCTCCAGGCTAAATATACCCAACACTACCAACACTCCTAAGTTTTTCCTTCCAGGCCTCTTATCAACTTGGTTGCTGTCCTTTGGACGCATTCGAATTTGTCATTGTCCTTCCTACAATGTGACACATAAAACTGGACGCAATATTCTAGATGGTCTGTCCAATGCAGGATAGAAAGGACCAATTAATTCTCTTGATCTTGACACAACACTGTTGATATAGCTTAGAATTGCACTTGCTTTTTTCTTCAGATGCATCATACTGTTGGCTCATGTCCTGGTCCTTTTTGTATGTACTGCCTATCACAGTCTCTCCTGTTCTATATTTGTCTTTCACTGTTCCTACCTAAATGTAGTATCTTGTATTTGTCCATGGTGAAAACCATATTGTTGGTTTCTGCCTATTATTCCAGCCTATCAAGTTCTTGATAGCATTTTCCAAGGTGGCTGTTATTCCCTCAACTTTGTATTGTCTGCAAATTTGATAATCACATTTTAACCCTTCTTCTATGTTAATTATAAAAATGTTGAAGAGCACAGGGCCTAGAATGGAGCCCTGAGGTATGCCACTGGATTATTTCTCTCCAGCTTGATATACACTCATTGGATACTATTGTTTAACCATCTCTGTATCCATCTAAAACTAGCATAGTCCAGCCCACATTTTGTTATTTTCTCTACTAGAATCTCTTGGGAGACTTTGTCAAATGTTTTGCTGAAGTCAAGGCTATGTCCACTGCATTCCCCTGGTCAACTAACTTGTTGGAAAAAAGAAATTAGTACCTAAGCCTGCTCTTGCCAAACAATGCATGTTTTAATAAATGTTAACAAACTGAGTATTTAATAATCTATTCCAGAGTTTTGCCTCGTACCAATGTCAAGGTGACTATTTTGTAATTAACCAGGTCTTCTTTTTTCCCTTTTTTGAACATAGGTACAAAATTTGCCCTTCTCCAATCCTCTGGAACTATGTCTGCCCTCCATGATTCCTCAAAGATCACAAAAAAGGGCTCCAAGGTGACATATTCAAGTTCCTTCATGGTTGTAACTGTCTGACCCTGCTTAGGCCCATTTAAAAACAGATTTCCTTGGGGAAAAAAAGTAGGAGAAGGAGTTTAGAGTGTCTGCCATCTCCCTGTCACCTATTACTAACCTTCCATTTTCTCCTTCCTTTTACTACTGACATAGCCAGGATGTCTCAGAAGGGACCCTCCCTTGCAAGATTGATGTCACCCTTGAGAGACAGTCCAGACAGGAAGCACGCCCAGATGAACTAATTCTACTTTATTGTAAGGTTACATTAACATAATCTTGCAAATCTGAAAGGGCATTTCTCCCCCGTCACCTTTACAGTCCAAGAAACTAGGGAGGGTCCCTTCTGAGACATTTGCCACCCCCACATCCCTTCTGCAGACTAAGCTGCCTCTTACCCAACTGTTCTCCTGGTTGTGCCTCTTCCCTCCATCTCCCAAGGTCATTCCCACATACCATTACGCTTTCAGTATTCTTGTCTTCCTGCGCTACATCCTTCAACAGGAAGGAGTAAAGAAAGTACGTGTGTCCCCCAGCTTCTTCACTGTCCTGCCCAGCACTTCATAGTCCCTTACAGTGTCTTCAAAGTTATGTCATGTTGTGTGATTTGTTCCTATATGGATCAGTAGGAAGGGGTATTTTGTCAACAGATTTAAAGAATCTTGAGATTCTTTCCATGATATCCTGAATGTGTGCCCTCGGAAGGCAGCAAACTTGATAGGCTGTCTGGCTGACAAATTGCTGCTTTAGTCATTCTTAGTAGGGAGCCTCCGGTCACCACCACCTATCACTTCCTTCTCTTCTGAGTAGAGGTAGGACTTCTTCTGCTTGAAGAGCATGTAGAGTCTTCTTTCTCAGTTCCTAAAGCTTTTGGCAGCTGCTCTTCATCCAGGGTTTCACAAACAACATCAACAATGAGGCCCTGGAATCTATTCTGAAGCCCCAGAGTATAACAACTCTTCCTGAGAGCTTGGGCCTTCATGTCACATCTCTCTGCCTGCTAGACACTCTTCTATCTTCTGAAAGGATTCTTCTGCTGTTATCCTTCCACAAGCATTCCTTATGTCCAATTTAAGAATTCCCCATCTTCCCTTAAACCATCTTCCTTTTATAATAAATTGGCACAGATAGACAGGAAGACATAAGAAACTCAGGTTTAACTAAAGAATTGAGAAGAGCATTTAGCAAAATAATCTTACCAGTTTCTCCAGGTTCAGGACTATCTTGGCCTGTCTTGCTAGACCCTCGGCTTGTAGATTCTGGGCTAGCAACTCCAAACAGCTTCCATTTCCCTTGCTTGGGTAGCAACCGCCGTGCTAGATCTGACTGACTTCCATCAGAAAGTGGACTGGAGCCTGAAACACTCCCATCACCTTCTTCCAAAGCTCGTAATTCTGCCTGTAAAAATGAAACATTATTTCAGTATTGGAGAAACATATTCATCTGTTTCTCCCCTTGCTCCTAAGTATCTGCCTTCAACAATGACATTATATATCTAGGACACTCTATTACAGTGGTACCTCGGGTCACGAACGCTTCTGTTCACGACCAATTCGGGTCACGAACAGCACCGTTTGCAAAATTTTGCTTCCGTTCACAAACTCCGCATCGGGTGACGAACAGGATCTGCGGCCTTCTCCCCTGCCGTGACACGTGGTCGTGGCTTCCTGTAGGGAGGGGGACTCTCCCCCCAAGAAATAGCCGCCTCCCCACCCGCCTTCCTGTCCTCCACGCCAGAAGTCGCCTCGAGCAAG